ACTCTGATTAACAAGTGACTGTCCTCCTGTGGTGCTGCAGTTTAATGTGCTGGACTGCAAAGTCAGTGTGACCTACAAGGTCAGTGGTTCAAGCTCACCAGTTGCTCCTTGGAAAACCTACAAAGGTTGGAAGTGACTTGACGGTACTTAACAACCACCACCACTGGAGTCCTGGTGTGGCACTGTAGGCTCATGTGTCTGACTGCAAAGTCCTTTGAACTGCAAGGTCGGCTGGCGGTTCAAGCTCACCAGCTGCTCCTTGGAAACCTGAAACAGGGTTGCTATGGGTTGGAATCGACTCGACTGCACTTAACATTTACTATACTTTACCTCAGGGTGAGCTCTGGTAGCGTAGTGGTTATGAATCGGGCTGCCAACCTTAAGGTCAGCGGTTCGAAACTACCAGCTGCTCCGCGGGAGAAAGATCAGGCTTTCTACTCCCGTAAAGATTTACACCCTCAGAAACCCTGTACAGGGTCGCTATGGGTCGGAACCGACTCGACGGCACTTAACAACAACAACAAAGTATAAGGCAAAGTACAGAGGATACAAGGTTTTTGCATTATAATCTTATTTGGGGTCCAAATAACTGAGACACACAGTGTGGAGAGAAGGGAAGGGTCACCTGAGTGTCCCTAAGTGCCAGATATTTTAGAGCCCTTTTGGGGTCAGAGTCATTGGCCTCACTCCACAGATGAGGGACTACTGAGATCCGAGAGATGAAGTCAGGGGTTCAGGGCCACACAGCCAGGGAGCAGCAGGGCTGGCACCCATAGCCTAGGTCTGTCTGAGTCTGAAATACCTGTGTGCTTTCCAGAACTATGACTCTGTCTCACAAAGCAGGTAGTACAGATTGACCTATTTTATAGGTAAATGAACTGAGGTTCAGTTTATATAGTCACTCAAGTTCATATAAGCAGGTAGTAAGTGGCGGTAACAAACAGGATCCAGAACTTCCAGTCCCATGTTCATTTCTCTCTCAATAAGCTACACAGTTAAAACAAACTTGGAAATAAAATGATTTACTAATTTTCAATTGCATTTATTTGCTCAATTATGAGATTTGCCCATTATCTAGTCTAGAAATAAGAAATATATTTAGATACATTATTTCAGTAGGCCTATTGCTTCTGGACTTTTTAAGTTTTTACTGAAAAATTACATTCAATAAAATTCATATGTCTTAAGGACACAGCTTAAAAATGGTTTAAAAATACGGTTTAAATTCATTTTTGGTTGAGCTTTGTACTTTTTCCCATTTGTCCTTCTCTGCTGCTCTCCCTGCCTTTGAGCTTTGTTTTGAGGCTGATGCTGCCCTTTTGGTCGCAGTGGCTGATTATTCTGAGGAGCATGGTCCTGGTGAGTGATACGCTTCACTTTATAGGCCTGTCTGTTGTTTTGCTGCAGGCTGATCTCAGGGTTCTCATCAGTTCCAGGTTTAAAGGGTGTCCAAAGGCCACAATCTGGGGTCCCACCAGTTTCCACAAGCTAGTTAGTTTGGTCTTTTTTGTGATGGCGAATTTTGTTCAACGTTTTTATTTCATTCTGTCCAGGACCTTCTATGGTCCCGAGCAGAGTGGTCAGAAGCTTCATTAATTCTTACATACACATATACCTGCAAAGAGAGTGTGGTGGCTCTCTAGGCTAAGCCCTGGGCTACAAATCACAAAGTCAGCGGTTCAAGCCCACCAGCCACTCTGTGGGAGAACAATGAGGCTTTCTGCTTCCGCAAAAGATTTAAAAGCCTTGGAAACCCTATACAGGGTCACTATAAATTGAAATTGATTCCACAGCACTTAACAACAATACTTTTCTAACCACCATGCAAAGCCAGCATTTCTAGATGTTCCTGGACATTTTAGAACAAGACACACCAGGAATTGAAAGAATACAAATTAAAATCTTTCAACAAAGTGCAAGGAAGGCACTTACTTATCAATGCCAACAAATTTGGAAGACAACTACCTGGCCAACTGACTGGAACAGATCAGTATTTGTGCCCATTCCAAAGAGAGGTGACTCAACAGACTGCGGAAATCATCGGACAATATCACTAATATCCCATGTGAGTAAAGTTTTACTAAAGGTAATACAGAAACGGCTGCAACCATGTATCACCAGAGATCTTCCAGAGATTTAAGCCAGTTTCAGAAGAGGATGTGGAACGAGGGATATCATTGTTGATATCAGGCAAATCTTGGCTGAAAGCAGAGAATATCAGAAAGATGTTTACTTGTGCTTTATTGACTATGCAAAGGCTTTCGATTGTGTGGATCATGACAAGCTATGGACAACATTGTAGAGGATGAGTATTCCGGAACACTTAATTGTGCTCACAAGGAACCAGTACATAGACCAAGAGGCAGTTGTTCGAAGAGAACAAGGGAACACCAAATGGTTAAAATTAGGAAAAGTGTGTGCCAGGGTTGTATTCTTTCACTATACTTATTCAATCTGTATGCTGAACAAATAATCAGAGAAACTGGATTATATGAAGAAAAATGTGGCATCAGGATTGGAGGAAGTCTCATTAACAATCTATAATATGCAGATGATACAATCTTGCTTGCTGAAAGCCAAGAGAACTTAAAATACTTTTTGAAGATCAAAGACCAAAGCCTTTGGTATGGACTGCACCTCAACGTAAAGAACACAAAAATCCTCACCACTGGATCAATAAACAACATCCATATAAATGGAGTTGTCAATGACTTCATTTTGCTTGGATCAACCATCAAAATTCATGGAAGCAGCATTCAAGAAATCAAATGACATATTGCATTAGGCAAATCTGCTGTGTAAGACCTCTTTAAAGTGTTGAAGAGCAAAGATGGCAGCTTGAGGACTAAGGTGCGCGGACCCAAGCCATGATATTTTCAGTATCCTCATATGCATGTGAAAGTTGGATATTGAATAAGGAAGACTGTAGAAGAATTGACACATTTGAGTTATGGTGTTGGAGGCGAATACTGAAAGTGCTATGGGCTGCCGAAAGAACAAACAGATCCATGTTGGAAGAAGGGCAGCCAGAGTGCTCCTTGAAGGTCAAGATGGCCAGACTTCGCCTCTCATACTTTGGACATGTTGTCAGGAGGGACTAGTTGCTGAAGAAGGATATCATGTTTGGTAAGGTGGATCAGAGAAAGGAAGACCCCCAGTGAGATGGACTGGCCAAGTGGCAGGATCAATGGGCCCAAGGGTAGCAAGGATTGTGAGGTTGGCCCAGGATCAGGCAGTGTTTCATTCTGTTGTGCACAGGTTGCTATGACTCAGTACTGACTCAATGGCACCTAACAACAACACTATTAAATTTTAAGCCCAGGAGTTAGGCAAAAATATCTCAACAACCCATGTAAATAAATAAAAAGTTTTTTATGACACACACCAAGTAAAGCAGATTGTATACATCCTCATTTTTGTTGTTGCCATAGCTGACTATGAAAGGAGCAGCAATGCAGTCACTGTGGGAGCAACTTGGGGACAATGACATTTCTCCTTGTTGTAACAAGTGCATGACATTGGCAACTCTGGCTATTTTCCAGAGCTCTTAAACCAAATTTGAGAAGATTCCATCTCAGAAAATAGACATGTCTGTAAAAAGGAAGAAACAAGTGATATTTTGCAAATATCTGTTAAAAGCGCAAGTCCCTTCCCATATTACAAGTTGCTATTAGAGACGAGGGAAGAGAGTCCTGACTGGCACCACCACGGGTCTGAGGCGGGTGACTAACTAAAAGGAGTGGTGAGAACACCATTCCCTCTTGGGATGGCTTCCTGTCTCACTTATTCCATGAAGATGCACCAAGGGATGGCTTACTGTGTGCCAGGCAGCGTCCTCACGGGCATGCACAGTCAGGAAGAGAAGGCTCCTGCCCCGCCCCAGGGAATGGAGTCAGAGCTGAAGGATCCTTAGAGAGTGGCCAAGTGCAATCAGGGCAGGGTCTGGGCATTGTTTGGCACTGGATTTTATAGGGAGTCCTGGTGTGATGCTGTAGGATAAGCACCAGATCAGTGGCTCAAACCTACCAGTGGCTGCTTGGAAACCCTATACAGGGTCGATAGGAACTGGAACTGACACTGTGAACTTTAACAACAAAGGAATCTGGGAGAAAGATGTGACTCCATCCTGTAGGGTCACTAGGAGTTGGAAACGACTCTAGGCCAATGGCTTTCGTTTGGTTAAAGGAACCTAAACTCAAGGCTATTTCCTGGAGTTGGAACTTACCGCAATCAGAAGGGAAAAGGCAATGCCTAGTTTGGAGAGAACAAAAAACCCAAACCTGTTGCTGTTGAGTCAACGATTTCAACTCATGTCATCAGAACAGAATTGTGCTCTATAAGGTTTTCAATTGTGGCGTGGGTAAAGTACACAAATTAGGTTCCATTTAACAATTTATATACATTATTTCTTAACAGTAACTGCAGTCCCCTCAATGTACTAGCACTCTTCCACTTTCTCCCAGGGGTCCCCGTTTCCATTAGTCCTCTTTTCCTGACCCTTCCTGCCTTCTGAGTATTGTTTTTGAGCAATACTGCCTTTTTGGCCTCCTAGGGTTGATTCCAGAGAGTTTTCAGTGATGTTTTTGGATGTAGATCGCCAGGCCTTTCTGTGGGTGGACTCAAACAGTCGAGTACTTCACCCTCCGTGTCACTTAAAGACTACAAACAAGTTGCTGTTGACTAGATTCTGATCCATGGTGACTTCAGGTAGAACTGTGCTCCACAGGGTTTTAAATGGCCATGAACTTTCAGTTCTCAGAAGAGAGGCCTGCTGATGTCCTGTCTCCAGGCCACGGAAACCCTATGGAGCACAGTTCTATTCTAACACACACAGGACTGCCAACAGCAACTCGGTTTGTCTTCTTTTCTTTCGAGGTGCCTCTGGATGAATTCTAACTGCTAATCTTTCAGTTAGTAGCTGGGTGCTTAACGTTTGTGCCACCCAGAGACTACTCAGATAGGGAGGCAACCCTAATAATGGCAGCCCACAAAACACTCACGGGTTTTTGGAGTCGTCCAGCAATGTATAAGTTATTCCAGGTCAGGAGATCTTCAATCAGAATACCAGTGCTAATAACCCCATATTTGATAAGCTAGAAAAGAAATGGGCAGGAATGAAGAAGTATAAATCACCATGCTGCAACTTAAGCTTTTTGCAAAATATAAAGAAACAGACCAAAATTCCTAACCAGAGCGGTACCTGATTTACGAAGTTTCTCAAAACACCAGGATTTCGAATTGCTTCAGTCATGGCTGATATAATGAAGTTGGAACAGACCTAAATTTGTAAAATGTGTGTGTTCTAGAACAAGAAGTAACAGGAAAAATTATGGGCCAAAGTCCTGGAGTGGGGGCCCTTTCAGGAGCCTGGATACGTGCCAGGACTGTGAAGAGCCACACACATTAGACGTGGTGCGCTCGGCCACTGTCTTTGATGGGGTATGACTGCTTCATACTATGCTGATCAAGAGATCTGGTTGCTATGCAACATGCGCGCTTCCCTTGTTTTCTAAGAGGACATTCATTTCTAGCAGGGTGCCAACCTCTGATTTTTCCTGTTCTGGTTATTGTTCCAGTACAACCATAGTTTATAAATTTGGGTTCATTCTGGTGTCACTTCCTGGGCCAAGACTGAACTAGAAAGAACAGGTTTGAAGCCCGGGTATAAACGGACATCCTGTTTGCACCTGAAGCTTTCCCACAGGTTTAGTGTCTGTGAGAAGTCAAGTGACCACCACTTCAAAGGCACAATGGCTGTTGGAAGCTACTTAGTATTGGTCCTCAGGGGACAGGAAGGAAAAAGAACTGATCCTTCAACACAGATATAGTGAGGAGCAGTGATGCCGTTCGGTCTCTTCATTTGAGAAATAACAAACACAAAGACTAGTGAAAACAAATGGTGTGCCCAAGGTGATAATATTAGGAGCAAAGTCAAAATGAGGTTCCAGAATTTCAGTGTCCTTTTTACCACCAGGTATAAAGTTTTCTTCAATTCAAAGTTTTCTCTGACGTTCTTTATGTAGTGAATTTCTTGTTTCTTATCACTTCAAACAATTAAAATAATAATAATAATAATAACACCCCAAAAGAAAACTTCTTTATCAGTACTCAACACATGGAATTATAGCGAAGCTCATTTCAGTAGTAAATGACAAGCCCTAAACGTAATCCATCCAGGTCATAGAATCCTGTCTGTGTTAGCAAATGCCTCTACACCCACTGTGCTGAGCTTTAATATCCATAAGCACCCTCCTCAGGATGCAAATATCTAAAAAGTCACTAAACAGTTTCAACAAAAAAGTAGTCCCTTTGGTAAATAATTATGCCCAAGCATTTGGTTACTGGAGTTCGTAGTATTATTTGAAAGCTATTAATTAATGAAAGGTTCAACACAACATTAATTATGGAAAAAGAGCAAACCTACGTGAACTGAAAAGCTACCTTCTTCACTCCACTCTAGACCCAGTACTGCAGAAACCTGTTCTCTCTGCAGCCAAGCACCAATTGGCAGGCAATGGAAACATCCCTGGCCCCTAAGTCAGGGGGAATGATGGGTAATTTTATGCGCCAACTTGGCTAAACCTATATTCTCAGTTGTGTTTTTTTTTTGTTAACTGTTGTCCAGTTGGTGCTGACTCATAGCGACCCTGTATAGGGTTTCCAAGGGTGGATGGTGGGTATGAACTGTCAACCTTACAGTGAGCTGTCTGCTGCTTATCCTATAGTGCCATATGTAATGACCTCCCGTAATGTAATCTAATGCTATCAGTGGAGAGGGGAGTTTCCTTTTTACATGTGTGGTATGGCACTATAGGACTGGACTACTAACCACAAAGTCAGTAGAGCTAACCCACCAGCTGCTCCTTGGACACCCTATACAGGGCTGTTCAATGTTGGAGCCGACTCGACAGCACTTTAACAGCAATGTATGTCTATTGGTGTTAAATGGTGTCATTCATATATATATATATCGCTGTTGTTGTTATGTGCCATGGAGTCGGTTCCGACTACCAGAGCTCCATATATATATATACACACACACATATAATTACACACACATACACATTTATATACATATATAAGAAACTCTGGTTATAGCGTAGTGGTTATGAGTCGGGCTGCCAACCTCAAGGTCAGCAGTTCGAAATTACCAGCTGTTACATGGGAGAAAGATAAGGTATTCTGTCCCATAAAGAATTACAGCCTTAGAAACCCTGTACAGGGTCGCTATGGGTTGGAACCGACTCTACAGTACTTAACAACCAACCAACAAACAACATACATACACACACAAATACAGTCCTGGTGTGGTGCTATAGGATCAGCACTGAACTGCAAGGTCAATTTGAAGTGCAAGGTGGTGGTTCAAACCCATCAGCCAATCCTCAGAAACCCTATACAGGGTTGCTATGATTTGGAACCGATTCAGTGGCACTTAATAACAACTGGTGGCAAAGGGCTAATAACCATAAGGTCAGCAGTTCAAACCCAGCAGCTGCTCCGTGTGAGAAAGATGAGGATGTTTGCGTCCATAAAGATTTACAGCCGAAACCCTCTATGTGGTCACTGTAAGTCAGAACAGATTCGACGGCATCTAACGACAATATCAAATATATATACATACAAACATACATACATACAGACAGACAGACAGACAAGGCACTCTAGTAGTGTAGTGGTTACAAACTGGGCTGCTAACCACAAGGTCAGCAATTTGAAATCAGTGGCTCCATGGGAGAAAGATGAGGCTTTAGTCACTATGAGTAGAAATCGACTCCAAGGCACATCTCTCTCTCTCTCTTTCTCTCATAAACACACACACACACACTCTGAAAGCGACAGCCCTGTTTTTCTGGGTCTCACAAGTTTCCTGCCTTTGACAGGGCACAAATCTTAACACTTTTCTATGACTCATAGTGGAAATTCCCGACACAGGTTTTACCACATATGCCACAGTAGCTGTTTCACTAGAGAACAAACTCTGATGAAGACAGGAGGCCTGTCACTAACTAGCTGCATGACCTTATGAAGAAGTCATTTCCCCGCCCTGAACCTCACCTTCGTCATCTGTAAAATGCAGGAGGGGATAGAACAGACCTCAACCCCAAAAAGCACTTAACAGTGAAACCTGCAAAAGCCAGAACCTATATAAGGCAGAAGCTGGTCAAAGAAGAAAAACTCTGGTATTTTCCACTAAAACAAGTGATAGAAAGGTGGTAAGACTACAGCCAGTCCAGGGGAGGAAACGTGTGAGAGTGCTTCGGCTCTGACAGGTCTCACTGTACATGGCCCACCGCTCCACAGACAGCACCAACCCATCACAGCACTCACACCGGCTACGGTCTGCTGTGTCTTCAAAACGCTTCTCAAGGTAGTACTTCAACTTCCTGCCCTCCAAAGTGTACCATCAACGTCACCTGCTCTTGTTGTCAGGTCCTGTCGAGTCCGTTCTGACTCACAGTGACCCCGTACACGGTTTCCAAGGAGCACTGGTGTGCCATTCCTAGCCTAGCTGATCTCTAGGTGGAATGTGCTTAGCCTCCACTGGTCCTCTTAGGTCGGGGTTCTGTCTAGCTCCTAGTAGCCCTCAGAGACTGGGATCCTTCATCCGAAGATTCTAGCTGCGGTCCTGCTGTCAGACACCCTGTCTGCTGGCATCTCGGCCTCTTACCTGCTCTCCAATGCCCCAACACTCAATTCCACCTCCAGCTAGCACCAAGGGATGCCTATTACTGGGCCCCACTTCTCATTTCTTGGGGGTGTTTGCTCTTCCTCGCAGATGATTCACCTGCAGCCTGACTCTAAATGGGCCCACCTATTCCTTCTGCTGACCAAACCCATGGTTCTCAAAGGGTGGTCCCCACACTCTGGACATCACTGAGGAGCAGATCTCAAGCTCCATCCGAGACCTACAGAATCAGGGGCTCTGGAGATAGGCTCTGTCAATCTGTGCTTCAAACAGGACTTCAGTAATTGTGACACAGAGTAAAATCTGAGAACCACTTGGCCTGTGGCAAAAAGATGGAAACAGCCAACCACCTCAAGCTGCAGTCACCATCAGGGGAAGCAGAGGGCTCCAGTTACTGCTCCATCCCTGGATTCAAGACATGCAGCAGGACCATCGGCAGGAGCACACATATTTAACTGGTGTTCAAGTGACAACGGTGGTGGAGCCTACACAACCCCTATCCAAGTCAAGACAAAGGCCCAAAGCCACTTACCCTGCCATCACACTTTATCAATGGGTTGTAGTACACTCCAGCGCCGAAGTTATTCTGGATGGTTGTGATAGCCCTAGGCCCCAACATTTTTAATAAAGAATAGTGGCTCCAGTTTTGCTTCAAGTTCTTTGAATGCCATCCCACAGGGTCATCTACTGTGAAGACAAGGTCGAGCATGAGATTCTGCGAGGGGAGAAGAGAATGAGGTCAGTGTGAATTCTGAGTGTGACAACAAGTCAGAATCTGCATCCTGACCTGGTAAGAGTCAGAAGACTCTGGATTCTCCTCGAAGGAAGCTTTGGAATTAAAACGAGCTTTGTTTTCATCTCACAAATAATAATGGCAAAAACATGTATTATTAAGGAGCCCTGGTGGCACTATAGGATAAGCACTGGACTGCAAACCACAAGGTCAGCAGTTCAAACCTACCAGCCGCTCCTCAGGAGAAAGATGAGCATGTTTGCTTTGGTAAAGATTTAGTCTTGAAAGCAGGGTGACGAAGAGTAGGAATCTATCCAATGGTATGTTGTGCAAGACGTTCTTCTAAGCACTTTATATATGTATGTATAATATATATGGATTCCTGGTGTGGTGCTGTAGGATAAGCACTGGACTGCTGCTAACTGTAAGATGGGCTGTTTAAAGCCACCAGTTACTCCTTGGAAACCCTATACAGGGTTGTTGTGAGTCAGAACCAAGTCAATGGCACTTGTTGTTAGGTGCCATCGAATTGGTACCGACTCACAGCAACCCTATGCACAACAGAACGAAACATTGCCTAGTCCTCGGCCAACCTCAAAATTGTTGCCATGCTTGAGCCCATTGATGCTGCCACTTTGCCAATCCATCTTGCTGGGGGTCTTTCTCTTTTTCTCTGACCCTCCACCTTACCAAATATGGTATCTTTCTCCAGTGACTGGTCCCTCCTGACTATATGTCGGAAGTATGAGAGACGAAGTCTGGCCATTCTGGCCTCCAAGGAGCATTCTGGCTGTACTTCTTCCAGCACAGATGTTTCTTTTGGCAGCCCATGGCACTTTCAATATTCTCCTCCAACACCATAACTCAAAAGCATCAATTCTTTTATGATCTTCCTTATTCACTGTCCAACTTTCGCATGCATATGGTTATTGAAAAAGTCAGGCGTACTTTTGACAATTTCCAATTTTCTTAGATGAAGTATTTCATACATTCTATGTTCTAATTATTAATGGATGTTTACAGTTGCTTCTCTTCATTTTGAATTGTGCCCCATCAGCAAATGAAGGTCCCGAGGAATTTACTTCATTCGCGTCATCACAGTCAACTCTACTTTGAGGAGGCAGCTCTTCCCCAGTTGCATTTTGAGTGAAATCCAATCTGAGGGGCTCATTTTCCAGCACTATATCTGACAGTGTTTCTCTGCTATTCATAAGGTTTTCAGTGACTAAATATTTCAAAGTAGCTTGTCTCTCTTTCTTACTAGTCTTTGTCTGGAAGCTCATCTGAAACCTGTCCACCATGGGTGATCCTGCTGGTATTTAAAATACTGGTGGCATAGCCTTCAGAATCACAGCACCTCAAAAGCCACCGCAGCATGATGAACTGACAAACGGCACTTAAAATATATCTACATAGATATATAGACACACACATTACACATGAGGTTAAGTCAAAAATTATCAGCACTCTAGTTGTATTAAATGCTCACCCACATCCACAGCTGATGACAACATTGAGCATGCACGTGAAGTGATTCTGTTAAATATAAGTGACAGTGGATTATGTGGCAAATCATTCGCAAATCAGTCATGGCTCTATTGATGAAATAGGCAGACGTGGATTTTGAAGTTTGTGCGAAATGGGTATCGAAACAACTCAAGGAAGAACATAAACAGAAGCATTTAGACATCTGTCTATAAATTTGGACTAATATTCCAAGAAAGGTAAGTTTCTTTAAAAAAATCGGTACATGGATTCATCATGGATTCTTCACAGTGACATGGTCTAATCACTACGAGCTGGGATGGCAGAGCATGGAGTGCAAACATCCTCTATCGCCAACCAAGAAAAACTTCAAAAAGTCAACCACCAGCTGGCAAACTGATGCTTACAGGTTTCTGAGATTCTCAAGGGCCAGTATGGAAACATTATCAGGAAAAAGGTTCAACAATCAAGAGTGCTCGTTACAGTGAGATGCACACTTAAGATCTGAGGTCTAAAGCTCGGATTAAACTCAGAGGACTGCTATCCATGGGTGTTGTGATCTTGCATGACAATGCACGTCCCCACACTGCTGACACTCCGCAAAAACATCATGGTGTTAAAGCATCCTTCCCATAGTCCTGAACTTGCTTCATCGGACCCTCACCTGTTTGATCCCCTGAAAGCAGTCCTTCGAGGACAAAGATTTACCTCTGATAAAGAAGTGAAGACAGTGGTGCATTCATGGTTCACAGCTCAGCCTAAAACATTTTTTAATAAGGGAATATGAAAGCTTGCTGCCAGGTGGACAAAGTGTATTGAAAAGCAAGGAGATTATGTTGAAAAATGATGTATTTGTCTTTTCTAAAACTTGATTAAAATAAATTCTACAGCCAGAGTACGTATAACATGTATGTAAAGTTTATCCTCACAACAGCCTGACCCCATTTTATAGGAAAGGAAGCCAAAGCACAGAGCAGCTAGTGACCGGCAGACAGAAGTACTACAAGGGGGCTTCAAAAAGTTGGAAAGATTCCATTATTTTAAAATTCCAATTTCCATAAGCTCTTTGAAGACCCCTTGTATGATTCCAAATTCTGTGTGTACACAGCCTTTAAGCTAAATGTAGTTCTACTTTCCTTCCCAATCACTAACAGCACCACATAGATAAAAACTCTATAGTTCATGTAATGGAAAATAACTTAACTCTTTCCAATTCACTAACCCCTCACTGAGCACCTACAGTAAGCTAGTCCCTCTGATATATCCTGGGCAAGAGGCAAAGACTTGATCCTGCTGGGGAGACTATACCATTCAACTGTAAGGTGCCTTATGAGAGAATGCTAAATGGATGACCGTGACTCAGATTGGGGCTGGGTCCGGAGAACAGGAAGGAGATATGTTCCTGGAGATGATGAATCTGAGTCATGAAGAATGAACAGGAGAATGGCTACCACCTAGTTGTTGTTAGGTGCCACTCAATTGTTTCCAACTCATAGCGACTCCAGGCACAACAGAGGAAACACTGCCCGGTCCTGTGCCAGCCTCACAACCGTTACATTTGAGCCCACTGATGCTGCCACTGTTTCAATCCATCTTGTTGGGATTCTTTTGCTTACCCTTTACTTTACCAAGCATGAAGACAAAGTTTCACCATTCTGGCATCTAAGGTGCATTCTGACTGTGCTCCTTCCAATACAGATTCGTTTGGTTTGTTCTTCTGCCAATTCAGGGCACTTGTAATATTCTTCTCCAACACGGTAATTCAAATGCATCAATCCTCAAAGGCCTTCCTCATTCACTGTCCAATATGCACATGCATATGAGGCGAATGACAATACCATGGTGTGGGTCAGGTGTACTTAGTCCTCAGACTAAGACAGATATCACTGCTCTTGAACACTTTCAGGAGGTCTTGTGCAGCAGATCTGCCTAATGCAATACATTGTTTGCTTTCTTGCCTGCTGTTTCCATGAGTGCTGAAGGTGGACCCAAGCAAAATGAAGTCTTTGACAACTTCAATCTTTTCTCCATTTATCATGATGCTATTTACTGGTCCAACTTGAGAAATGTTTGCTTTCTTTACATTGAGGTTCAACCCAGACTGAAAGCTGTGGTCTTTGAGCTTCATCAGTCAGTACTGTACGTCCACTTAGTACTTGGCCTCACCAGGGGACACCTGGGAGGGGTGGGGAGTCCTGTTAGGGGAAACTACTCCAGTGGATAAGGGGACATCACCAGGTATGCTCCGGGAGCTGCACTTCATTTAATCTGGCTAGAAGGGAATACAGGCAGGGGCTGGGGAGCTCAGAGGGAGGCTGTTTGTATGCCAAGTAATGTTCCTGTGTAATGGAGTGAGAAGAGGCTAAAGGTAAAGGCAGAAAGACCTGACAAGAGGCCACTGCAAGAGCCCGGGTGAGAAATGAAAATACGATAGCAACTACAAATTGTCTAATTTGAGCTGTAGGTGTTAGAACTTCCCAGATTTGGAAACTCCAATGAAGGAATTACATTACAGGTGAGGGTAAGGGAAAGCAGGGCCTTTTCTGCTCAAAGGAAAAGCTATACAAAAAACGAAGAGGTAGCTTTCAAATCTGGAGGTTCCATCCTGCTCAGAGTTTATACTAGGTTATCCATAGACCCTTGGTGATATTTAGGAAGATTTGGGGGTTCCTTGGAAGTCTGGATGACCAGATGTCATCTCTCATACCTCAGACATGTTATCAGGAGGGACTAGTTCCTGAAGAAGGACATCATGCTTGGTTAAGTGGAGGGTCAGCAAAAAAGAGGAAGACCCCCAACAGATGGATTGGCAAAGAGGTAGAAGCACTGGGCTCCAGCCTAACGACTGTGAGGGTGCTGTGGGGCCGCCCAGTAGTGTTTCCATTCTGTTGTGCACAGGTCTCTTTTAGTTAGAACTGACTTGATGGCACCTAGCAATGAAGAAAAACGTGGCAACAGGATTGGAGGAAGACTCATTAACAACCTGCGATATGCAGATGATACAACCTTGCTTGCTGAAAGTGAAGAGGACTGAAAACATTTACTGATGAAGATCAAAGATCACAGCCTTTGGTATGGATTGCATTTCAATGTCAAGAAAACAAAAATCCTCACCACTGGACCAATAAACAACATTCTTATTAATGGAGAAAAGATTGAAGTTGTCAAGGACTTCATTCTTCTTGGATCAACTATCAACACTCACAGAAGCAGCAGTCAAGAAAGCAAACAACATACTGCGTTAGGCAAATCTGCTGCACAAGACCTTTTTAAAGTGTTGAAGAGCAAAGATGTCAGCTTGAGGACTAAAGTGTGCCTGACCCAAGCCATGGTCTTTTCAATAACCTCATAAGCATGTGAAAGCTGGACAGTGAATAAAGAAGACTGTAGAAGAATTGATATGAGTTATGATGTTGGAGGAGAATATTGAAAGTACCATGGGCTGCCAAAACAACCAACAGATCCATTTTGGAAGAAGAGCAGCCAGAGTGCTCCTTGGAGGCCAGGATGGCCAGACTCTCATACTTCAAACATATTGTCAGGAGGGACCAGTTGCTGGAGAAGGTTATCATGTTTGATAAGGTAGACGGTCAGAGAAAAAGAGGAAGACCCCCAACGAGATGGACTAGCCAAGAGGCAGGATTGATGGACTCAAGCGTGGCAACAGTAGTGAGGCTGGTCCAGGATCAGGCAGTGTTTCGTTCTGCTGTGCATGAGGTCGCTATGGGTCAGTACTGACTCGAAGGTACCTAACAACAACAACAACGACAATGGGCAAACATTAACATTATTTTCTGGAGCTATATAAATGTGTTTTAGGAAAATTTCTTATATATTATTGCCAAATAGTACAGGGAGGAAACAGGACGTCCAAGCACAGCATAGGTATTCTCACAAAGCAATGAATAGCAAACTTTAATCAGAAGACAGACTCCAGTCCCCAATTCCAAATTGGTAAGGCCCACTTGCAAACTGCACACTGAATTTTACAGTCACAAGAAAATGTGTATCTTCACAGCTGTTGGTGTTGTTGACCCTCAGCAGATTCTTAACAACTAACAATAGTATACCTACTCCCCAAGGAGCCCTGGCAGTATAGTGGGTTATGCACTGGGCTGCTAACAACAAAGTTCGTGGTTCAAACCCACCAGCTGCTTTGAAGGAGAAAGATTCTTTGGTATCTTTCTGCTTTGGTAAAGGTTTACAACCTTGGAAACCCTATGGGTTCTACTCTGTAATACAAGGTCACTATGAGTCCAAATCTGTAAGTACAAATCTACCCCAGAGCAGTGGGTGGGTACCTAGTCCCCAGGAGCCTTGGTTGCTGTTGTTGTTATGTACTGTGGAGTCAGTTCCGACTCATAGCGACCCTGGACAGGGTTTCCAAGGCTGTAAATCTTTACAGGAGCAGAACGCCTCATTTTTCTCCTGCAGAACAGCTGGTAGTTTTGAACTGCTGGCCTTAAGGTTCGCAGCCCAATTTGTAACCACTACGTTACCAGAGCTCCTTAGGAGCCTTGGTAGCATAGTGATTAAAGCATCTGGCTGGTAAATGAAAGGTTCATGATTCAAACCAGTTAGCCTCTGGCGGGGGAGAACTATGAGGCGTCTGCTTCCATAGAAGCTCTGGAAACCTTATGGGGTAACTGTACCGTGCATTGTTGTTGTTAGGTGCCATCTCATAGCGACCTGCTACAACAGGGTAGCTATAAATTGGAACCGACTTGACCCCAAATTGTTGTCAAGTGCCACTGAGTCAGATCAGATTCATAAGTGACCCTGTATAAGGTTTCCGAGAGTTTAAATCTTTTCTGGAGCAGAAAGCCTCTAATTTCTCCTGGTGTGGCAGGTCGGCTCAAACCCCTGATTCTGTGGTTCTTAGTCCAGTGCTTATTAGATGGAGACACCACGCTCCCTGACCCAATAGACCCTTGTTAAAAGTTCAAACCCAGCAACTGCTCCTTGGAAACTTTATTCAGGGTTGCTATGAGTCAGGGATCGACTAAACAACACTTAACAACAGTACTTAATATGGATAAATAGATTGCTGTCCACTACCTGTACCACACCTGCCCCAAACCAATCTGTCTGCTTCCTGGAGTATAACTGGTATTTTCTCTTACAGCTATATATAGATGGTGGTGGGCCGTGGAGTTGGTCCCGATTCATTGTTGTTGTGCAGTGCCAGTGAGTCGATTCCGACCCATACCGACCCTGTATAGGGTTTCCAAGGAGCAGCTGGTGAACTTGAACCTCCGACCTTACAGTTCAAACAGCTTTGCAGTCTGGCGCATTAACCCACAGCGCCACACCCCGACTCATAGTGACCTTGATTTAGTTTCCCAGGCTGTAAATCCTTACGACTTGCAGAAAGCCTCATCTTTCTCCCAGGGAGCGGCTGGCAGACTCGAACTACTGACGTTACGGTTAGCAGCAAACCGCGTAACCCACTACGCTACCTGGGCTCCTTACAGGTAGATAGGTGCGACTCTCAAACTCGGATGCGCATTAGAATCACCTGTGGACATATAAGGTCTCTCTGAGGAGAGGCTGGTGGGTTTGAACCTCTGACCTTGGAATCCTAGAATCACCTAGAAAATGCATTAAAATCCTGGAGCTTAGGCCAATTATTTCAGCATCTTTGAGCAGCACCGCGCCAGACCGTGCCAAGGGTCGTCTCCTTTCTCCCTCCTGCCGTGGCACCAGGCTTGGCGCCCCCTTGCTCGGGACCGAAGCGTCCTTCTGCGCTCCGCTAGCGACACCGTACGGTCCACTACCGACACACGGGCCGAGGCCGAGCGGGCTCCGGGTTGGGGCTGAGCCGGCCTCACCTTCTGGTTTGCACTGGGCCCCGCCTGGCGGTACACCCCGGAGCCATAGGCGAAAGCCAGGCTTAGCTCCGCTGGGAAGTGAGACAGGATCTTGCGGAAGGCCACTCCCGAAGTCGGCAGCGATTGCAGCACCATGGGGCCCAGGCTCGGCACAGACACCGGGCCAAACGAGAGCTGGGCCAGTGGCGGGGATCAGATGAAGAGGCCGGCAATCCCAAGCCTGGCGGGGACAGGCGGCGGTAGCGCCTGACCCGCGGCCGCCTCCGGACCCGCCTCTCACGCACACGCGCTTCCAAGAGACGGCGCTCGCGGATGTGTAGGGCCGGTGTCGCCTCACAGTGCCACCTCGTGGTCGGAGGAGCACACTGCATGCTGGCCGCTTGGGACTGCCGATTGGATGGTGGTGGTTATGTGCCATGGAGTCGGTTCCGACCCATTGTTGTTGCTGTTGTTTGGTGCCATCGAGTCGGTACCGATAGCCACCCTATATAGCGTTATGAGGCTGTAAATTTTTATGGGAGCAGAAAGTCTCATCTCTCTTCAGTGGCTCGGCTGGTAGTTTCGAACTGCTGACCTTGATGTTAGTACCACTTTAACGCTTGGGTAAGGGAGTGTCAGCTACCTTTAAAACTGCTTTTGATCCTTAAAAGTCCTTTTTTTGTTCTCTCCTTAAATCACATTTTAAGAAATTATTGCTTAGTCATGCGAGTATATTGCAGACTATTTTTTAAATTGAGGTGAAATTCACATAACATAAACTAACCATTTGTTCCCGCTGACTTGGAGATGAAAGAGGGAAGAGGGTGGGCTGCTTGGTCCAAAGTATAGTGAGATCTGGGAACTCCTGAGGCTACAGCTGAGAGTGAAGCATCCAGATGATGTGAAGTGGGGGGAGATGTACAAGAACGCCTAAATTTGTAGATAGTACCCATTTGACCTGGCCTTGTGATCAGAAATTGACTAGAGAAAGATTAAAAAAACAACAACAACAATTTTTGATAAAGGAAACAAGTGTGAACTGCTACATGTGATGAACCTGATCTATACTTATGGATGTAGTAGTTCAAAATACCAACTTTCAGGAAAGCAGTCTTCACATCAAGTATGAATCCTATCCCCTCTGTACACAGGGTAGATAGGGAAAGGCAACTTAGACATTGGCTACCTAAAATAAGGGGCGATAAAGGCATGAAGTGACTGGCTTACAAGTTTTCAAGGGGGAGTTTAGTTTAAGAGTGTGTGGGGTAGGGTAGAATCCCCATTGAATAGTTTTCATCTTGTCTAGACGGTGAAAAGAGATGGGGATAAGATTCTTATGATTCAGTAGCGAGTAATTGTTATCATGACTAATTGCGACTGTCACAGCTGTAAAGGTAGAAGTTTTGCAACAAAAACAGAGGAGTAGATAATCTTATAGTCCAGAAACAGTGAGTAGGGACTGTATGGCCTTTCTTTTACTTTTTACTACATCCTGAAGTGAGTTAGAAAAATGTGTGCCTTAGAAATTTGAATTAAGCCAACTGGGTAAGGAAAAAGATTGTGCGATTGAAGCCCTAGCCAGTGGGTGAGACACAGCCAGAAGACTTGAGTCAGGAATAAAACCCGAGTGGACTTCCTGTTCCATGTGCTCGCTAGCCTGTTCCTATACAGTTGCATGCATGCATCCTTCTGCAGAAGTAAATTTTGCCTTGCTGAGGTAATTTAGTCATACCGAGTGTCTTCTTGTGTGACATCGGGGTTCATTTATAACAACCTGAGGACCATCAAGGAAGAAGAGCACAAGTGGAATGCAGAACCCTATCCAAAGAAGCAGCGGAACCAGGAGATGGGGACATGGAGAGAGGGAGCAGCTGAGGACTCTAGTCTCATGGAAAGAGAGGGACTAAGAGCTGGTGGCTGGGAGACAGGCTTGCAGAATATGCTCTTTGGTTGTTTAAATTACTACATGTTCCTGAGTGTTTCTGTGTACATCTCTCCCTCAAAAAAACAAAAGCAGAAACAACGGAGAGAATGGAAGCAAATACCGTTGAATGATGATACACCAAGGAGATTGTAATCATTGCAATGAAACAATGGTGTAAAGCAGATGTTCTCCCATGTAAGTTCACAATAAAAAAACAAAACACAAAAATTAACCATTTGAAGGTGGCATTTTAGTTCAAATGTGCAACCATTGGGTCTATTTAGTTTCAAAATTGCAGAATATTTTGGATGTATAGCAAAACACAAATTACAGAAAATTAAAATCATGTTTAAGTCCACCATCTATGCATAACAACTGTGTTTTCTTCTACTTAAAGCTCTTTTCAAATCAGGTAATGGGGATAGAAATGCTGGCACAGGTCTTCTGACACTTGTATCTCATTTTAAGAGTAGAGAAGAGCCCACTGGTGCCCCCTTGTACCATGTCATTTGTAATGCAATGTAGTTTGACTTCCAGGACAAAAACTTTTCAGTTAATCTTTCTTGCTTCCCTGATTTGCAAAACAAACAAACAAGCAAAAAGCAACAAGAAATACCAGTTGCTGTGGAGTTGATTTCAACTCATAGTGAGATCAAACTGAACTCTATAGGGTTTTCAATGACTGATTTGGGGGAAGCATCTCACCAGACTTCCCTCTCTTCTGAGGCACCTGTTGGGGTAGACTCGAGTTTCCAACTTTTTTGTTAGTTGTTAAGTGCTGTCTGGTGGATTTCAACCCTTAGTGACCCTATACAGGGTCTCCAAGAAGGAGCTGGTGGGTTTGAACTACCGACTTTGTGGTTCACAGTCCAGTGCTTATTCTACAGTGCCACACTAGAAGTCATTTTGGTTAGTAGTTAGTAGCTGAGAATATTAACTGTTTACACCATCCAGGGACCCCAACAATAATAGTACTTCAGCGTCATCAAGTCCTCATTAACAATGTGTGATATATACAACCTTGCTTGCTGAAAGTGAAGAAAACTTAAAATACTTACTGATGAAGCTCAAAGACCACAGCTTTTGGTATGGGTTGTACCTCAATGTAAAGAAAACAAAAATCCTCATAATTGAAACAATTAACAATATCCATATTAATGGAGAAAAGATTGGCGTTGTCAAAGATTTCATTTTACTCAGATCAACCATCAACCCTCATGGAAGCAACCATCAAGAAATCAAACAATGTATTACATTAGACACATCTGTGGCACAAGACCTGTTTAAAGTGTTCAAGAGCAAAGATGTTAGTTTGAGGACTAAGGTGCGTGTGACCCAAGTCATGGTATTTTCAATAGCCTCATATGCATGTGAAAGTTGGACAGTGAATAAGGAAGACCCTGGAAGAATTGATGCTTTTGAGTTACGGTGTTGAAAGTAGTGTGGACTGCCAAAAGAACAAACCAGTATGTGTTGGAAGAAAAACAGCCAGAGAGCTCCTTAGAAGCCAGAATGACCAGACTTTGTCTTTCATACTTTGAACATATTATCAGGAGAGACCAGTCTTTGGAGAAGGATATCATGTTTGATAAAGTGGAAGGTCGGAGAAAAAGAGGAAGCCCTCCAACGATATGGACTGGCAAAGTAGCAGCAGCAATGGGCTCAAGCGTAGCAACGATGGTGGGGTTGGCGGAGGACCCTATACAGGGGTTTCTGAGACTATAAATCATTATGGGAGCAGACTGCCTCATCTTTCTCCTGAGGAGCAACTGGTGGGCTTGAATCACCACCCTTAAGGTTAGCATCCCAATGTTCGAGCCCGCCAGCTGCTCCGCAGAAGAAAGATGAGGTTTTGTGCTCCCTCAAAGATTTAAAGTCTCAGAAACCCTGAACAGGGTTGCTATGAGTCAGAACCGATTTGACAGCACTAAACAACAATAAACCATCAGTCATGGTTCAGAAGCAGCAGCAATTGCTAAAGGGACCACCAAAAGGCTAGAATAAGGGGACAGAAGGGAATGCTGTACATCTCAGTCTCACTACGTGAGCACCTGGCTGGAATCAGGAGTGCATTTACCATGAGACCCGAACCTTCTACCCAAACAAAGACACTATGTAAATCCTGTGACCAGTAGTTGGAGGAGTTTTACTTTTGTGTGTTTGCTTTCCTTTCTCCCCTCAAGGAAATAATGATCTTTGTTGGCTTATTTTCTGCTTGCAAAAAAACAAAAAAAAACAAAACCCTTTTAAACATTACATAACATTTTTAAACCTAAGCATAACGCTTAAGATAAGAGTCACTAAAATCTTTGGAAGATAGCCCTCTGTATATTTTTCCTATGACTGTCTTAACATTTTAAACACTTAAAATTAGAACCATATGGAAGATACAGTGTTGCAGTTTGCTTTTATTCACTTCACATATCAGTAACATTTTAGAATATAGTGCTGCTGTTAAATGCCATCAAGTCAGTTCTGACCCATGGTGACCCATGTATACATTCTGTTTATTGTTGTTGTTAAGTGCCATTGAATCCATTCAAACTCATAGATACTTGTATATAGGATTTCTGAGATTTCAAAACTTTGAGGGAGCAGAAATCCTCATCTTTCTCCCATGGAGCATCTGGCAGGCTCGAACCACAGATCTTGTGGTTTGTGGTCCAGCAGCAAAATTTTCTAAACTATGGACTCCCGGTGTGGTGCTGCAGGATTAGCACTGGACTGAGAACCATACGGTTGGCAGTTCAAATCCGCCAGCTGCTCCCCAGAAACCCTATACAGGTTTGCTATGAGTCAGAACCAACTCTACGGCACTTAACAACAACGGATACTTCAGAATTTGTTTAAACATTTGCAGATGGATGCAGACGATTTCCTGGGTTTTGTGTGTGTGTGTGTGTGTGCAAATAATGCTACAGTGCTTCCTTGTACACACACCTTTCTGTACATGTGCAAGTGTTGTCCTAGGATAGATCCCTAGACATGGAATTGCTAAATACCAGCACATTGCTAAGCTCCTCTTGGAGAGATTCCACCAATTCTCCCTCCCACCAGCTGTGCTCAGTCCTTACATAAATACAGACTCTGCAACTTTTCTCTATTCCCCCAACCCCCTTACAGGCGTTCACACCTAATTATCAGTAATTTTCATTTCCACAAACACTTTCCCTCCAGATAATCACCCACTGGAACATTTCATCCCATTCCTGCGAGCTTTTCGCCTTTCCTC